AAAGTTGATATTTAGGAAATTAAAATAAAATAGGAAAGTCTAATTATATGTAATTCAATTTTAGTTATATTATATGAAATAATATAAAATATATAAGGTAGATGTATAAAACAAAATAAAATGTTAGACATATAAAGCCCAAAAAGGTGTGGGACCATACTTAATAATTATAGTATAGTGTAGTAACTATTAATTAAATTTCGAATACAAGTTAGTATCTTTTTTTAATTAAGAACTAAATCTTCTCAATATCTAACAAATTAATTTAAATATATTATTAATTTATAAGGTATAGTAATATAGTATTTCCGTCCTTAGAAGGATTATTTATCATTAGCTCTTATATACAACAACTGAAAGTGATCACTTGATCTCGTTAGTGAGGAGATTAAGTGTTGTTTATTGTCTTCTCCTTTGACCTACATGATTTGCAAGGAAAAAGTCCAGGCGTAGGTTTGGATTGGAGATCTCAAAGCACTAATATCTTGATGGAGGCCTCTATTTTTTTGATGTTATTTTACTAATTTATTGATGATTTTCTGTATCTGAAAATATGTTGATTTAAAGAGAGTTTTGTTTTAATTATATTTAGTAGGGTTAAATCCAATTGTAGTCCTCATACTTTGTGAAAATGTTCATTATCATCCCTCTACTAAAGAAATGTTCAATGTCATCCCTCTACTTTTCTTACACCATAATTGTCATCCCTCTACTACTCTTTTTTTGTTAGATGTCATCCTTAATTGGATGCCATCCATTTTGCTGTTAATTTTGACTGTTATTGGCATATTTGAAATTATATCATGTCACTTGTGTTTATTTGTAAACTTAAGTAAATTTGCTTGCAGGTTGGTTTGGAAAATGTCTTAGAGCGCATTGTTGAAACCCTCAAAGCAGATATTATGGTGTCCTACCTATTCCTGAAACCAGTATCCAAGAAGGAGGCTCCTGAGTCCTGACTACCTGGACATTTATAGACCACCCAATGGATCTGTTCACAATCAGGGACAAGGTGAGGAGGATGAAATACAAGGATTGAAATATTTTTAGACACGACATATGGAGAATTGCGTACAATACTCACAAGTATAATGATGGGCGTAACCCAGGCATTCCCCGCCTAACGGATCAGCTTTTAAAACTATGTTTCTACTTGTTGGATGACTATCCTGAGAGCTTGTCTAATGAAGAAGCTAGTATAGAAAGTAGGAATCCTTAATAGTGTTTTTGTCTAGAAGACCAATTAGCTAGGGAAGGGCATGCTCCTTTTGCTCTTTTTTTTTTCTTTTTTTCTGAGAGGGGGTGGTATCCAGGGTTCAAAATGAAATTGTAATGTGTACTATATCATTGCATCCTCTTTCTTTTCTGTATCTGAATCATCATCCTATCTAATAGAGTTTTGTTATTAGTTCATATGATCTTTCTGTTTCTAACTACTAGAAATATCTTCTATAAGGGTCACACTCACTGTATATAGGGTATACGAACAGAATATCTTTATTGACTTGAAAGATGTAACACTTACCTCATTGAGATATAAATTATGCTTGGGTACGAAGAATTTCAGTCAATCACCCTTAACCTAATGATTAATTTCAAGTTTACATGTATTAGTCAGATTAATTGAATTAAAGGATTAAATACTTATTTATATAGACACATAATTATATAAAAAAAATTAACATATATAATTTATATTAACAAAATTTTTAATTTAATAATTTATATTAATTAAAATATAATATTTTTTAAGATGTATTCCAAAACGACATCCTGCAAAACGCCAGTTTATCTGGTAAAGTTATATAAGCATGATTATTATTACTAGTATTATGACGTGTGATTCATGTCTAAGAAATATGGTGCTGTATGAATCCACCTCCCATTTTCCAAGACTAATGCAATTCAAAATTGTCATCTCGAGTCAAAGTCTCACAATCCCCGTAGTCCATACGCTCACCTCTGAGTCCTCTGCACGCCAAATATAAAGTAAAAAGTTTTTTAAAAAATAGTACTAAAAAAAAAAAAAAAAAAAAAAAAAAGGGGAAAAAACCACTATATATAGCCTCACGCCAAAGCATATTTCCCACACCGTCATACACTTTTCTTATTCTTAATTCCAACCTTTTTCTACAACAATGAAATCTCTGAATATGAGAAAGGGTGACCTCTTCCTTGTCCTAACTGCAATTCTCGCTGGAACCATGCCGGTAAATATACTGGCTCAAAAGTGTGGTTGTGCAGCTAACGAGTGCTGCAGCCGGTGGGGCTTCTGTGGCACTGGTCAGGACTATTGCGGAGCCGGCTCCGGCTGCCAGCAGGGCCCTTGCATCACTAATGATGTTTCAGTGCCTGATGTGATTACCCAGGAATTCTTCAAGGGAATTTTGGATCAGGCAGATGCCAACTGTGTGGGGAAGAACTTCTACAGCCGGGATGCATTTCTTCAAGCTCTTAGTTCCTATTCTAAGTTCTCAAAGTCAGGCACCGCCGACGATGCTAAAAGGGAAATTGCAGCTTTCTTTGCACATGTCACTCATGAAACCGATCGTAAGATTTCTACTATCATTCATAGTCTTCAATTTCCAAGAACAATATTAATTTTTATTTGAGATTGCGGAAAATCATGATGCATATCCTTAACAAAAATACTATAGATATACTAGCACATAAGAATTATAAATTTGAGATTTTTGTTCTTTTGCAGATTTTTGCTACATAGAAGAGAAAGATGGAGCCTCCCAGGACTACTGTGATGAGACCAAAACACAATATCCATGCAACCCTAACAAGGGTTACTATGGCCGAGGAGCATTGCAACTAACTTGGAACTACAACTATGGACCGGCGGGGGGCAGCATCGGGTTTGACGGTTTGAACTCACCGGAAACAGTAGCCAAAGACCCTGTCATCGCGTTTAAGGCAGCGTTATGGTATTGGTTGGCCAATGTTGAGCAGGTGACAGGGAAAGGGTTTGGACCTACCATCCGAGCCATTAATGGAGATCGGGAATGCGACGGTAAAAATCCGGGCAGCGTTAATGATAGGATTAAGTACTACAAACAGTATTGCAACCAATTTGGCGTTTCCCCTGGGGACAACCTTAGTTGCTAGACTTTGAATTTTAGAACCTATTTAATGTCTTTTCTCACCCTTTTTTTGTTGTTG